TGGTGTATTTTTGCTAGCACAGGCTGTGCCTGTAGTCTAGGGTGTGGAGTGGGCTCTTTAAGCAATGGGGAATTGCAGGGAGACATCCCTTGGAGTGTCAGCCAAGTGTGATCCCATACAGACCTTCTTGCATTGCCTTTGGTGCTTTTTCATCATCTTTCTTCTGGTAAGTTCAAGTCACAGAGCTGCTACCAAGGCTCAGCCCTTTCCCTGCCACCTCCTGACACCACTAATAAAGCTCTCCCTTTCCTCTAAGTCATTATTTGAACAAAATTCAGCTGTTTTGGAGGGCAAGGAGGGAACGAGTTCACTGCTTCAAGCCTGCAGGGTTGCAAAGAACCCCAGCCATGTGCTCACTGTGCTCCTCTCTGCTGAGGCTCTGTGGATGCACAGCATTATCATTTCAGACAAGCCTCTCTGGCATGGCCCAGGGAGCAGGGAAGGATGTCTGGGTCATTCTACTAATAAGGAGGCAGCCCCTAATGAGTCCATCTCTGTTCCCCTGCCTCTCCAAGAGGGAAGGAAAAAACCTCAGAGTGCTCTGAAGTCAGGCCTGACTTCACAGCAGAGTTGTCTGCTCTGCTGTATCAGAGATCCGCTGGACAAGGTTTGGTGCTATCATACCTGGCAGGTGCATCCTGATGTACTAGGTTTATAGAAAATGTCATGTTTGCAAGTCCAGGAAGTCCAGGCTGCAAAATGTAACTTGTTCCAGGCTGATTTGGGGAGTACAAGTAAGGATCCAGAGCTAGGAAAGCACTCAGGTTACTGCCATGCAGAGAAGCCTCAGGGGCAGGGTTTGGATAATAAATGGCCAGTGTCTGTGTCAGAGACTCAGGTACACAGGAGTGTGGGTCCCTCAGCCTTTCCTCCTGGCAGAAGTAAGAACTTACCAGGAACAGACTCTTCTTCCCAAGGGCCACAGCTCCAGTGTGCTGGGACTGCAACTGGGTCCCTGCTGATTTCTCTAGTAACAATAGCAATTGATTTACAGAGCACTGTTCTTTACATGCCTTTCTGAAAAGAGGGTCCTGTAGCAGGAGGGAGCAGCATGGGATTCCCTGGCTATGTAATGCTGCTCTGACAGCCTACCCCACCAGCAAAGCATGTTCAGCCCTCACCAGCCCAGATGAAGGATTTCTCCTGGTGTTCCCCAGCCCAAGTTCAGGCCAGCCAGTGCAGCTGTGACAGCCCCACAGGCTGCTTTTTGTGATACAGCTTACAGGGAGGATGCCAGGAAGGTGTAGGTAGGAAGGGGATGAGGAGCAGCAGATGCAGAGGGGTCTCCACACCTGCTTGGGCAGCTCCCAGGGTGACACAGTCCAGCTCTGTAGCTCTGCATCATTGAGGACATGGTTCAGCTTCTACTTGGAATGCCACCTGTTACCCTGATTTATTTCTGTGGGATGCATCTTGCTGACCATCCAATTGTATTGAATCCACAAGGTCCCAACCCACTTTCCATTGATTTCCCTGCTCTCACAGCCCAGTCCCCATCTCCTTCAATGTGTCTGTGATGGAAGTTTTATTAATGCAAAATTTTCCCTCTGGAAAATGAAGTCCAGAAATTAATAATGAATTAAAACAACTTGCCACAGGCATTGCTAATGAGCTCTTTGTCTGCTCAGCTCACATGAAAGGAGGTCATTGCTCAGCCGCTCCCATCGCGGATGGCAAGAAGATTAACCGCGAACATCCCGCGTGCGTGCGGCTCTTTCCGGAGACAGCAGGACAGGCTCAGCTTCTGCCTGGCTGCCTTGTCCTGCCTCACCCCTGCTGGGCAGGTTTGTCTCAAGGAGTATTTACCACCTGGAGAAGACACCTTCCTCCCCTCCAAACGCTCAGGTTGCCTGTCTGTGTTGGGAGGACGCCCAAGTCATTCCACTGCAAAGGACAATAACCTTGCAGAGCTTAAGGGGAGAGTGGAAAGTAATCTTGGAGGGGACTAGCAGGGCTTAACTTCACTGCCATAAGCCTCTTCAGGGACTCTGGCCCAGAAACTAACCTGGCACCACTCCAGTGCTGGGTCTGCATCTATTGTTCTTTTCCCTTATCTTGTAAGGCAAAGGGTTATCCTGCCTTATCTGCTACCACAGGCTTTGGAAGAGGGCCCCCTGCAAGGGTGCTGGAAATCGTGCCCCTGCTGAGCCTCAGGGGGCTGTGCTGGGAGAAGAGCATCCACCTCTGGGCACTAGGCATGGGAAAGCTGTCACACCATGCTGACCACCTCTGTTGGCTTTTTCAGCCTGGTCTCACTCAGCAGAAATAGGAAGCAGGGTGTTGCATTTACCCATCCTGGGGTGGGCGGGTGAAAGCAGGTGGTTATGGGTGCTGCTCCTCTCTTGGTACATCAGTGCATGGGGCAAGGGACATTGAGCATCACTTCTCTATGATGGGACTGAAGAGCAGAAGGGACTTTCTCCCTTGTCCAGTGTCCCTTGTGGCAGTGTTGTCTGACTGCAGCAGAGGGACCCACACCTTCCCCATGTCCATGGGCAGCCTCTTACACATCAACTCTTTATTGCTCTGCTCTTGCAAAAGCTCAACCTGTAACTTTCATGTGCTTAACCCAGGCTTGGGAAAACTCTGCTGTGTTTGAAGCATGATGCTTCACCACTCTTTCCCACCCCTGCTCTCTCAGGTGGGACACCCAGCCAGGCTGACTGATGGCTCACTGATGGCTCTCTCCCTTGCTTGGCAGCACAATTGCTCGTTTGTCAAATAAGTGAGTCACACAGAGCACTGGGCACCAGGCAGTGACAGCCACACAGCTCCCAGCCTGCAATACACTCCAGCATGGGGGTGCCTGGATTCACCTCCACCAACTCTCCCCACCATGGCCTTGGCCATGGAGGAGTCAGTCCTGCCATGCATTCCCACCCCTCCTCTTGTAGCCCTGGGCTGGGAAGAAATCCCTTTCTGGTGCAGGGAGAATTTGGGCCACCCAGAAGAGAAAGGAGCAGGGACCTTGGGCATGGGGAAAGCAAGGCTTCAAACTGTACAGTGACAGCAGGAAACAAACCCCTCTTCCTCTCTCTCCTTTAAAAGTTTGTGCTTGTTTGCCTGCTGTTAAGCTGAAAACTCACCCAATGCCCCCAGTAACTACCTGCACTGAGCCCGTGTATCTCTGAATTCACCTGGCAGTCTTGCCATCCTCTTCATCACAATATTTGTGTATATCATAAGTCAAACTGTAGCTTGTCCTTAGAATGCTCTGACAAAAAGAAGTTCATCTTGCAGGAGACAGGGATGCTGCAAATGTCCATCCCACTCAGCACAATGCCAGTAGGGAAGTACCTGAGGAGCCCCCAGTGAGTCTGGTGTAGCTGGTGTGCTCTTTGCTTGGGTCTTTGAATGGACTCAAGGGGACAGGGGACCTGGCCATGGTCCCATGCCTGCTCCATTCATCTCTGAGCGCCATTTGGGAGCTTGTTCAGGAGTGAAGGTCAGTGAAGTCACAGTGTTGTCATAGCAGAGCCTCCCATGGTTGTGCCTGAGAAATTTGACTTGGAATTAAAACGAAGCTGGTTGCATCCTACCTATTTTTTATCTGCCAGGCTGTTCCTCCTACACAGCAGCTTCTCTCATATTCATTCAGAGGCAGCCTTAAGCCAGGGCTGCATTTAGGCCCAGCTATTGTTTCTTTCTTTGCTGGCATGGCCTAGAAACCCCCCATGCATTGGATGTCCCCATAGGATGGGTAGAAAATGCTATAATGCTCATAGGAATGCCAGGGAGATATACAGAGAAGTAAGTTTGTCCAAGCTGTGTCAGATACTGTGATAGTGCTGGGTTTAGGGACATTTTCAGACAGTCTGTGTCTTATGAATCTGAAAGTTAGGTACAAATCAGTTTTTTTTCTACTATAGGTGTGTTTGTGTTTATAGGGCAGAGCAGTTGATTAGGACAGCAGGGTTCTGATGTCCCTGCCATCCATTTTCTCCACAGCATTATAATTTCACCTCCATTTAACAACAGGTTCATGTCTGGGGTAACTGACTCAGCTGCTTGGCAGACTCATTGGGGCAGTCAAGCCTGCAGACAGTTTTATTTTCACTGAGGTTTGCAGCACAGAGATTTACAGACCAAATCCTTGTAAGTGGTCACCAGGGAATACTGTTGGGATCTGTGACCCCAGTTGTGCCAGTGCTGCTGGAACAATTGCAGCTCTGGCATCTGGGGCTATTACAAGGCTGCAGTATCTGGATCCTTTGTACCCCTGTTTCCTACAAGAGACAGGATGAGAGCTGTGCTATTGCCAAGGCTTCGGAAATCTGGTTGGAAGAACCAGAGCCCAGCAGAGCAGATGAGAATTCATAGAATCAGGAGAACACATTAGAGTTAAAAGACAATTAAGGTTTTGCAGAAGAGGCAGTAATGAACCATCCTCTGTTTCTCTGAGCTTGGCTTTTTTTGTCTTACAAAGAGTATTTTGAAAGTGAGTGCTGCTTTCCTGTCTTTCCATCCAAGTGCCTAAATTTGAGGATGTATCCTTATCTCTGTATGACAAGCAATAGTGAATGGGAAACTATTTTGTTCTGTCATTTACTTCTCATTTGGCCCCGTCACATCCTATCTTTTGGCACTATGTATTTTCTTAGTGTTATGAGCATATATCTGTGCTGTGTGTGAGAGAGTGGGTGTCTGAATTGTGTTTGCAAAGGCCCTTGATAAAAAGCTTTAACAAGTAAAATTATCAGAGAGGCAAGAGTGAGCTGGTCCTGGTAGATCCGAGCACTGGCAGGCAGCAAATCATCTGTCCGCAGAGACATTAAGTGCTGAATAGGTCAGAATTGCCAGGTTTTTAGTATTTACCTAGGAGGGAAACTACTGCTCATTTCAAGGAGCTAATGTTCCTTGCAGATTTAGCTTGAACACCAGAGGGAACATAAAAGCAACAGCTGTGCAGTAGTTTCAAGGATAGTGTTTTCCTCCTCAAGCACAGTGCAGTTCTATCCAATTCTCCTCATTAATCACTTTCTTTCATTTTTGTTTTTCAGCCAAAGCTTTTGGCCAAGGAGCTGCTTGACTTGGTGGCATCTCATTTCAACCTGAAGGAGAAGGAGTACTTTGGAATTGCATTCACAGATGAAACGTAAGTGTGAGAAATCACAGACTTAAGAGGCAACTCTTGGTTATAGAAAATATTGCTGTAGAAATACTGTGTACACCAAGGTCCTAGACCAAGGTCTAGGAAGGCATGGACCAAATTACCACTAAATTTGAGGTTTTGTCACAGGACAGGCCATATCTACCCCCAGATTAAATTACAAGAATAAAATTTGCACCAGAGAAACATTAAAGGTCTGCCAAAGGCTATGATTAGTCCCAGACTGTGACCCCTCAGTGCTACTGCACCACCCTGTTACATTTTTCCAGCTGTTTTCTCTCAGGAGTTACACCATCCTTGGCATATGGACTGTGTCTTGTATGAACACCCACCTTGGTTGGCAATAGGTTTTTTCTTTGTATGTTATTCAGGAAGAGACTTCCCACACCTAAATACTTTTAAAAAACCGAGATTTTCAAGCCAACACTGTGTCCCCAGAAGAGCTGAGTCAGCGGTATTGCTGTCACGAGCCAGTTCCTCTCTCCTGCTGAAGTGGCAGGGAAATGTAAATTATCTGCTGGAATAACGATTCAGGATCGGGTAATCAGAGGCTGCTGGATAATTGCACAAACATATCCGCATTCAGCTCGGCAGCAATCACCCCTCTAAAGTCAATTCCTTTGGCAAGCACCTGCCTTGGACAGCCTGAGGCCATCTCAGGACACAGCTCCAAGGATGGAGGAATGCTCAGCAACAGGCACGTGCAGAAGCAGGACCTGAATCAGATGAGATCCCAGAATCCATCCCAGCTCACTGACATGAGCAGCTCAGCCCTGTAGATCTCCAACCCAACACAAATTAATGAGACTAATCCTCCAAGGAGAAACAGTAGGAGGCACTTGCCTTTTACAAAGCAGGAGTAGGAAATTGCTCCTACCACTGTGTTTATTCTTGGAGAGAGCAAGTTACTCAGTGGGTGCTGCCTGAGGAAAACCATGCAGGGAAGCCACAGCACCCTAGGAGACAAAAATGTTCCCTTAAGAGTCCCAAGAGCACAGGTGAGACACAAGGCACCTCTCAAACTGTAACCAGAGAGCAGCTGAGCAAGTCCCAGCTCTCAGTTCAGCTGAGTGGGCACAGGGCTCCCCTGGGAGAGCAAGGGAAGCTAATGAGGAGGTGTCAGCAATTAGAGACATCCAGCCTCCCCTGGAGCTTCCAGGATTAACTGGGTGAGCACAGATCTGGGTTAGCAAAGGGAGCAAGTGTGAGAGCTGGCAGAGCTTGATGCTACATAGCAGATGCAGATGGATGTGCATGGTCCAGGCAGGATTCAAAGGATGAGGTGGTGGCATCCACTCACTTGGTCACCTTCAGACCTGTAGATGGAGCAGGATGCTTTTCAGGAGATGCTTAGCCAGCCCAGATGAAAGATTTGGGGACAACCTCACTAAATCAAGGAAGTACAGCCCAGAAACAAGCATTAAGTCCTAGCTGGTCTGAAGTCCTTCTGCTGTCCCACAGTGATTCTGACACTTGCACTGAGGCTTCTTCAGTGCTGTGAAAATAACCCTGACAAAAATATTTCCTCTTCAGTTGTGAAATGCTTTGAAGAGAGTTGGCACAACCAGCAATTGTTTTATTTGACTGAACACAGCCAAAGAATATACCTGGGGCCTTGGGCAGAGTCTTGGAAATAGATGTCCCAAGCCAGCTTCAGAAAATAAACTGGACTGTCTATACCACAGATCTTAACCTGCAATGTGAAATGGAAGTTTGAAAAATCCCCTTTCTTCAAAAAGTAATAAAAACAATCTCTTAATGTTTGTTTGCAGGGCACATGACCTAAACCTTTACCTAATACAGACCAGGAATGTAAAAAGAAAGCCTTTAATTCTGTGACACAGGCCCTCAGGGATTTCTTCACTCTCCACTGAGTTTCCATGTGCTTTACTTGAAGGGGACTCATAACCAGCTGAAAAAGAACAAGCCTGGTTCATAAATGTAGTCTGAGGTTGGCTAAATGCAAGTTTAGAAAGAAGAAAAGCCACTAAAGTATTAAATCAATTATTCTATTTAAGAGTAAAAGCTCTATGAGAGTAATTTATTTAGAAATTATTTAGACTGGGGATTTCCATTCATTAGTTGTGCTCTATCATGACAACCTTAGAAGAAAATCAATAGGAACAACCTTTGCATTGGCAACTTAATAGTTTCTTGTGATAATACAGGGTCATTACTGCGTTCAGCGTGACTAAAATTAGATTGTCAGACTATTATGGAGGGGAGAACAACGCCTCCTATTTTAGTGATCATAGGAGCCTTTATAGTGTGAGCCATTAACTGCAGGAGAGCACAGGTCAAAAGGGTGTCCCTGTACAGCACCAGGGGCCAAGCTTCACAGGAAGCCAGAAGAGCAATATCCTGCTTGATTAAAAGTGAAAAGGGGTGGGGGAAGAGCTTGGGGTTTGGTTGAGCTGGTTATGAATCTCCACTAACCACCCTTTCCCTTTGGATCAGCTCCTCCAGCGTTCACTAAGAGCAAGTGGCCAGGATTAACCTTCTGTTCACTGTAGACTCCCCAGCTGGGCCATGGGCAGGGTTTCCACACCCCTCACTTGTCCTTAGATCTGAGTCACCTACTCCATTGAGTGCTACCAAATTTGGCATCCCACAGCTCCCCACAGAGTAGGGTAGCACCCTTCACTGGAATTCCCTCTCATCCCTGGGAGCTGGGGGAAAGCCTATTTCCACCCTCCAGCCATGTGGCAGAGCCAGGTGTCCCACATCCTGGTTGAACAGCTGGTCCAGCTGAGGGCACAGCTCAGAGAATAATGTCCTGCTCTGGCACTAGACCAGTTCCTTTATCACCAAGTCCACTGTGTTGCAAAATTTATACAGTTAAACTCTTATGAGCTTCTCAGCCTCTTCAAAAGTAATTGAGAAAATCTGTGAGCTTAAAGGGGTTTTTGTTTCTGTTGCAATTGATGGAAATATAAATAGTTTCTATGGGTTTTATATTATGTGAATTGTTTTTTCTCAATGTCCATTTAATTCAGAATGAGTCTGACACTGAAAGAGTGTGAGTTGGTTTATTGGCCAAATACCTTTATAACACAAATCAATGTGGATCCACTTTTCAGAAAACTGGACACTAAGCAGTAAAACTGTATAAACAGAACCACCTGGAGGCAAAGTGCTCATTGATGTGCCACTCTTTACTTATAAAAGAAAACAGAACTACAGCACACAATCAACAAAATGGACCCTGGGCACCAATTCCATACTCAGCCTGTAAACTAAATGGACCCAGGTTTTTTTCCTTTAAGTGATTATGTGGTTGTTATTGACACACCAGTTTAACTGCCAACATGAGTACAACCAGCAGAGGAAAATTATCTGGCTTCCAGTATTTGACCTCCCTATAGGTCCCCCAAAACTGTTTGCAGCATTATTTCTGAATACACTGATAGAAATATCTGAATGAACAAATCGATGGCGATAGTGAAGCAAAAGCTACTTTGTGTCTCTAAATTGAACCATGAAGGAAATCCAGCTAGACATGGGCATGTATGAATGGGATCCCAGTGCAAGCTGCCTAAATTGGTCCATGAAAACTGTCAGGATTACTACATGCCTAGGGTTATATTCCCATACTTTTCCCTGTCTTACATGGGATTGTGCTCCATGAATAGTTCTGCTGACAACAGGAAGACAGATTCCAGAGCAAAGCATTCTGTGGTGCAGTGGCATGGGGATTTGGCTCCCTGATAGTCCACACTCACAGGCAGATACCAGGGACTGCTCACTGCTGCTGTTCTCTACGTGCCATGCTTCAGAACAAGGAGTTGGGTGACAATCTGCAGTGCAGAAGCCCTCAGCGATGAAAGGTTGTAAGTAGTAATTGAGTACAGTGAGCAGTTAGCTCCTGGCAGGGATTTAAGTGACCTTCCTCCTCTGAAGGAGCTTTGGATTTAAGCTCCATGCAGATGAGACTAATGAAACTCTTCAACCTAAAAACTCAGTGGCAATTAAATGTGTTATCCAGTGTGGAAGGTCAGACAATCCAGTGCTCACAACTGTGTATGTGATCAACATAAATGTGGAACTGGTATGTGTATATATATATATATATATATATATATATGGTTATACCAACCAGTTTCTCCTGCTAAAAATGCAATGAGAATGAAAAGAGCAAGTCTTTTCAAAATAAGAAATACCTTGAAGTGATTTTTTGTTCTGTGCACCATGGCTTCTCAACCCTTCCTTGTGCACATTAGGCATACCCAGACATTGCTGTTGAATAAATATAAGGGTAGACAGTAAGTCCATTGTCAACAGCTCACCCTCAGTGGGATCTGGTCTGTAACACCATCAGCTGCTGGTGGCTGCTGCATTGGTGATACAAATGCAACTGGACAGGTTCAGCACAGGATGTCAGGTTTAGTGGGACTTTTCCTTGCTCTGACAGCATTTTGTACCATGGCCTACATGGTAAATGCTCAGGTTGTACTTAGGCTAGGAATGGGTGAGCATGGCTAGTTTCAATCCCACGTGTAACTGGAGCCTTCACAGCTAATTTCAGCCTTCCTGAGGCCTGTCAAAAGCAACAGAACAGCACTTCATGACCAAAAAAAAAAAAAAAGTAAAATTACAGATTTCAAGAAGGGGGATGCAGCAGGAAAGCTAGATACCTCTAATTTTTTAGGCTGAGAATCTTTCCATGGGGATTATTTTTGACAGCCTGGAGTATCTGCCTTTAAAAGCCAAACCTTGTTAAAGTACACACCTGTGCTGAACAACAGGGAATGGTGCATGGATCTCACACCAGGATGCCAGTAGCAGAAATGATGGAAGGAAACCCCCTGCATCTTGCTGCATGCCAGCTATGCATCCTCCCCAGAGCAAGACCAGGTAGTTCCTACATCCAGATGAGTTAATATGGCAATCCTCACCCTGATCCCAGGCTGGGCAGGCTTGTCCTCAGGCCTTGTACTGCAATGGAGACATGAGGTGACCAGTTTGGCTTGAAAATCTGCATTATATCACTCCTTTCCGGTAGACACACTGCCAGCAAGTCTGTGCCCCTAATGCATGGTATAGGCTGCCTTTTACATAAAGTGAAAAAAATAGTGAAAAAATTATTTTAAAATTTTATCTAGAGAGAAAGCTGTCTGAAAGTTACAATATCTTGGAAGGAAACACATGGGTGTCTAGAGCAGGGGATAAAATAAGCTTTACTCTTTTTGTACACCAAAAGATGCCCAGGATGAGTCTGAAAAGTCCCTGACTCCACACATATCACTTGTACCTAGGTGAGACTTGGTACTTTTGCAAAATAGATACAGAGGCTGCTTAAACTGAATGCCTGACTTCTACATGGCAAAATCTGAGGAGAGCTTCTGTCTTGACATTTGATCCTGAGCCGACAAGAGTGATGGGTGGAGCTCAGCAGGAATTTAGAGCCCCTTGGTGGAGCTCAGCAGGAATTTAGAGCCCCTTGGTCTGAAGCAGCATGCTGTGCTCAGGTGAGCACCCACCAGGGTTCCAGAGCTGCCTGGCAGGAAGGTCCCTGAGCTGCCCATCCTCTTCTGCACCTCCATAAGCCAGGGCAGCAGTACAGAAACTCCCATTGAAGCCAGCTGATTCAAAGCCTCCTGATAGTGCTTCTTTCCCCTTTATTTATTTTTCTGGGAAAGATGGAGTGGGGGGGCTGTAAATACAGTTAAATTGCTACAGGGATGCCATTGCTTACTTTCTAAAAGGGCTTTTCAGTTGCCCAAAGCTCATGCACATGAGAACTCTTGTGAAAGCTGAGTGGTTTTGCTGTATATGTCCTTTGCTGTATATATAAGCCTTAGCAATGTACCCTGTATATTGTGGCAATGCTAGAAGGTAATTTAATAGATGGGGGTTTTTTTCAAAGCAGGCTGGTTTTTTCCTTTTTTTTTTCATTTTCAGTGGAATGAAGAATTATTCTTGAGGATTATCATGAGCTGGTGAATAGGCACTGGAATAAAGCTCAGGACATCTGAGTTCCATTTCCTGCTTTATTTGCAGCAAGATTCTCCCCCAAATCATTTCAGCTCTCTCTCCCATTGCTTGTCTAGACAGCAGAGCACTGAAGGCAAGGGCTGCCTCTCCCTCTGGGTGAAATCTGGTCTGACTGAAATCAACAGCCAAAAGCCCACAGGATGCAACCCTAGCATCACTGAAGGCAATGGCAAAAATCTGGCCAGCTTCAGTGGGGCCTGAATGTCACCCTAGGTATTTCCACAGTGCCTAATTTAACAGGGCCTTTATCTCAGCTGGGGAGCAAGATGCCCCTGTAATACAAATGATGGTATTTATAAAGTACCTCTCATGCACACACAGCACTCTGCAATGTGGGGAATGTGACAAAGAACAGAGCTCCTGCCCAGCAAAGCTTCCAGCAGCAAGGCAGGAATGGATAAATTATAGGAGAAAATAACGACAGGTACCATCTAGGCAAAAGAAAAGCAGCATGTGGTAATTGTAGCTGGAACGCTTCATGGAGCAGCTGTTTTTCAAGAGCTCTCTGAAGAAGGAAAAAGGAGGGCTGGGCAAACCTAGAGAGGCTATTGCAGGCATGTGGGTGGTAAATAAACTGTCTGAGACTATAGAGTCAGGTTTAGCCTTGAGTGAAATACTGCAGGCGTCGTGGAAACTCTTAACCATAAGGATTTCTAATGAAAATCTTGACAGACTTTTAATGATACAACTGCTCCAGGGGCCTGTAATAAAAAGGTGAAGCTTATAACATTTTGGGCTGTCCTGATTGCTCAGTGCTGCCAGCTTTCACCCTGACAGATTGAACTTTAGCAGTTCGATTCCCAGACTGAAACACTGCCAGGATGATATCACCTCTGCTCCTCAAACATTTATTGTGTGTTTTTCAAATACCATGCAATAGTCCAGGGCAAATAGCACACATTTTGGTTCACATTTGTAACACCTCAGACCTCATTGATGCGAGCAGTGAGAAAGCTCTTTGGTGCCAGGCTCAAAACTGTCTCTTCTCTTGCCAGGGGACACTTGAACTGGCTTCAGCTGGACCGCCGGGTGCTGGAACATGACTTCCCCAAAAAGTCAGGACCAGTTGTTTTGTACTTTTGTGTCAGGTAAGTGCCTGATGGCAAGCCCTTCCCATGGGATACAGCTACAGACAGCCTGTTTCCTGGAGGCCAGGAAGTGAGGCTGTCAGTTTTTCAGAAACACCTGTGGGCAAACAAACAAACACTTCCACAGAGGTCTCTTTTGAGCTCTTTGGCTTTGCAAACTCTTCTCACACAACTGTAAACAAGTAGTAGCCACACCAACACTCATAGCTGTCCACAGGGAAATGTATGAGGGCAAGATCAGATGTTATGTATTTACACTTCTACTTGTGGGCTTTGAGCTGCAAAGTCCAAGCTGAGTAGGGTGGCAGAACAAAGCCCTCTTTCTGCCAGGACAACCCACCTGAGCCAGCAGCCTGCAGGGAAAACACTCACTTCCTCACTGTGAGCCATCAGTCTCCTCTGGATTGAGTCCACAGAGTGCATTCTGTCAGAGACCAAATTAATCCTTGTACAGCTCTGTCATATTCACCTTCTGAACTCGGTGCTACAGTGAATTACTCACAAATAGCAAATGATGGCATTTTATGGCAGCCAGTTGGTTTCTACATGGCTGGACCAGACTATAAAAGTTTTAATGAAGATTACGGCAGTTTGGGAGCTTCAAACTTCATCTGGGATTTTTACAAGGAACTCTTAGTGTTTGGAAGCTGCTGGAAGCTGGCATTGCTTTTATGCACACAGTGCCTTTGCCTCCAAGGGAGATATTTTCTGAGAAGACAAATTTGCTCCTGCAGCTTTGAAACGCCCAGAGAGAGGCCAGGGGCTGGGATGGCATATGTACAAAATTAAGTGGAGAGTTTTGACTTACTTTTAATGGATAGCTCATGTCTAGAACAAGCCAGCACAGCGTAACTGTGTCTTTTTCTGTTAGGCTTTCCACTCCAGTGTTATATTACATCTGACATCACTCTCATTCATTCCATAGTACCCACAAAAAAATGAAGACCTACTTTTGAGTTTCTTCCCCTGAGTGAAGCTTTTTTTTTTTTCCTCCACATAGTGATTGTCATTCATTTAACTTCCATTACAAGGCAGGCTTTTGAGGAGAAGAGACTCTTTGTTCTGTTATGGCCCCATATTTAGTGGTGGATAGATCTTAGGACAAATCAAGACTGCACAAAGCCCTGTGAGTCCAGAATTAGCCTGATATCTCCCAAGAGAAGAATTTAGTCCATATTTTGGGTGCTTCAAACCATAAGGGTAGATCTAGAGTAGAGCACCTTCAGCATGTGAGATTCTGATCCACCTGTGCTTAGAGATACACGAAAATCTTGATGCTCATTGAGAACACAGTCAGTCAGTTACCAGATATCTTGTCCAGGGGCCAAACTGGGAGTCTGTGCTAAGACAGGGATCCCATGGAAAGCAGGGAAAGCCCTGAGTGAGCAAGAGCTAAGTGCTGGGTTTAGGAGTAGAACTGTAAAATGTGTGAAAGCCTGTGCTACTGAGCCACTCTCATATTCATTTCAAAGACCACTCAACAAGCATAAATATTGCCATCTGTATTGTTTTATGAAAGTTGGCAGCACAGTGGAGACCAGTCATTCCAGTGGGATCCCAGCCAAGAGGCATCCTAGGATACAGATCCATCTAACAGCTAGTGAATGAGTGACCCCTCCTGTTCTGGAATCTCAATCCACAGGGAAAAAACTCAGCATTCAGTGCCTGCATGTGTGAAAACCAGACTGACTCTGGGCTTATACTCTTGCTGATGGCAGCAGTGAGTGGGTTGTCACACTGAGTTACAATTTGGATTGGACTGGGAGCCAGATGCCTCAAGAGTTAGAAACAGGCATTAACTTACTGAGCCTTTTCTGCTGCTTATTTCCCGTGTGGATGTCGATGCTGGCAGAAGTTGAAAAAGTTTCCCAGCACATAAGGAGTTCCCATGTCCGTCCCTAAATTTGATCTGAGCAGAAGGCAATTGAAGACACCGACTCCAGCCAGATGGCTGAAGATGGAAAGGCCCCAAAATATCTGTTACCCAGTTCTGGCTTGGGAACCAAAGCAATGGCTAAAGGGAAGTTCTAAAGAGACCCACCCATAGACAGGGGTTTATTTTCACAATCTGGGGGTGTGCAGCAGCTTTCAGAGACATCCATAAACATACCATAAACAGAATGCTCTGTCTCCCCTGCTGCCATCAGGCAGAAAGCAGAGATAATTAGTGCTGTACTATACCTAATCACAAATGTGTTAATTTGTAAGGAACTTCATGCCCATGACACCTACTATGTCACAGGTAAAGGCTTGCCTGTGCTTGCAGATGCCTTTTTGCATTACCCAAGCATTGCAGCTGACAAAGCTTAGGTTGATGCTGGGAGTCCTGAATGGAGAGATACAAGTAATACAAGCAACTGGATGTGCCAGATGCTCATGACACAGAATTCTGTTTATTGCATTGGGATTTAGTAATTGTGTGGGTTTTTCCCTTTAGTTGAATTAAATGTACAGTTCAATCACACTGCATAACTACTAAAGATGAAGCCTCAGGCAAGAAAAGTAAAGGGTAGTTTGTGAAGAGGAAAAGCTACAGTGAAAACATTTTCACCTTTAATGTGACCATCAAATGGTTTTTACCCTCAACATTCGTGCAGCAACGCTAAAGGGCAGCATGCCCACCAAAGATGCCACAGATTTTAGCCTGCTCTAAAAGTACATTTAAAGGGAAGCTTGCCTTCTTAAGAAAAGGCTTCTTGAAAGAACTGTGCCAAAAATAGGAAGTTTCACAAGCTTTGCAGTGTGAAATTCTCCTCCCTTTTTTTAAATCTCTGCAGCACTGTTGAACCTTTGTCTTTTGACACACATTTCCTTCGGGTTTGACATTGTTGAACACTGATCTCCAGTGTCTTTCCTCTCTTCTGTTATCAAAGACCAAAAATTTCACAGCACTGTGTCAAAGGAGTGGGATTTTAGAAGGATGTTTTTAGCATTGGTTTGTAAGAATTTGCTCCTTCCATTGTTCATTTACTCAGCTACTGAAGCCTCCCTGTCTTCAGGTTGTCATCTAGTGCTTCAATGAAAGCTTTCCACTGAGAACAGCATAGGAATCTAGGAAGCAATCAGAACTCTGGGGCAGCTGTGAACTGCCCCGTGGCTATTGTGCAATATTATTTTAAAAGACTCTTCTAATATCTGTTTACATAGCTCTAAAGGCACACATGAAAGCAAGAGGGAGTGCCATGTGTCTTGCAGGGGAGGAGGGATGTTGGGCAACAGAATGGGAGTGATATTAGTTCTCACCTCAGAATTAGCTTCCTTGGATGGCTTCCCATAGCCCTGGTTGTTTGGTTGTTGGTGAGACTTAATCCCTGCCTCAGAGGGTTTACAAGTCAGATGAGAGTCACCACTGAAGTCCAGGAGAAGTAAAGGATAGGGATGGAAAAATGAGGGTTTGCCTGATTAGTTGATTTTACAGAGGTGTTTTGAGCCCAGAAGAGAAGAGAGAAAATGTTCTCACCATGAGCCTTGGGGTAAAGTGCAGGAACCTAAATACAGTGTGGAGACCTGGGCAGCAAAGGAGGTAAATAGAGATTGCAGGGTTCAAGTACATCCTGTTGGCTGGGAAGGAAGCATTTTGCTCAGACTCATACAGACAGAAGGAAGGCAGAGTTACTCCTTTTGTGTAAAGCTTTGATGTGAGAGAGAACCAGAGCACAGCCACAGTGTTTGTTCATGGAGAGCAGAGTTGGCCAGGCTCTGCAGTGAGTTCTCATCCTCAAACAATGGCCATGTGAGATTTGCAATCCTTAGCAAAGGAACCACCAGCATGGGTCTGATCTCTTTATCTTCTGTATGTTTGTCATGCTGTTAATTTATATGAACAAGCTTAGCAAATAAAATTCACTCCACTGGTGGATCTTTTCCCAGGAATGAATGTATTTGTTCTCAGGGCAACTCCACCAGCTAAACAGTGGCAACTCACTGCAGAAGTCGTCACACTAAATCAGAGTATGTCTCACATGGAAAGGCTTTTCTTTCAGAAAGGCATGGAACAAAATGTGAAATAAATCCTCAGTACTCAAATACACTGTGGGGTAGAGTTTGTATCTAGGGCTGGCAGTATTCCCACAAAGGAATGCCTGTGTTCAGCAACATCTGGCATGTGTTCATATACACTGGCTAGGCTGAAGTCAGCATGGGAGCTGTGGGGGCTCAGGACTCTCAATATTGAGGCCAGACATTTTGCCAGGTTGCCGCAGTTACTACAGAACAAAGTGGCCCTAAATAAGAGACTGGCAGTGAAACACAGAGTGAAAGCTCCTGGGTGTCTGTGCCCCCTTAACCTGAAGGAACATGGCTCTCTGTGCACTGGAGGGGGTCCAGGTCTGACCTGGCAGGTAGGGCAGGTGGGCAGTCTGAGATGAGATTCACCACACCAGAGCTGAGATCTTTACCTGGCAGACAGCTCTGTGTCACAGCTAATTAGTGCAGCCTCCCTGTATAACCACTGGAGAGAAATAGTCACCTTTCAGGAGCAATTAATCTGGCTTATTTCATCTGACTCATCCAAAGATGACTGCTTTGGAATTCAACAAGTTGCAGGCTTATAAAACCTGTGTCTCTTCTCTGACCTCAGAGCCCTGCTCAGATGTAGGCTTATTCATTTGATGCATCCCTCTGTCCTACCAAGTCTGTAAATTCAAAATTATTATTTCAAGCAGGTTGGCACTGCCAGGGTTGAGGAAGTGTTTCCTATCTACATGGTTTCACCTGGCTATCTAAATGGAATTGGACCAGATTTCAGCTGTTAATGAGGCCTTAGGCTATTTTAGTCTTTCAGCTCTTCTTTGTAGGCATCTTTAAACCTGTATTCCATTAGAAAAGGACTAATGCTAACAGTGAAAGAAACCAGAGGCCATTTGAAAACAGCTGACCTGGGAAGGGAGAGAGACTGTTGTTCTTCATAGAGCTAACTGGACCTTAGAACTTGCCACTGAAATGCATTTCTGCCTCACTCATGGCCCAGAGACATTTGTGGGGTGCAGATTCAGAGCATC